GGCTCCCAGCAGCCGCGGCGGCGGCGGCGCCTCCGAGACACAGACCCGGGTTTGTTCAAAATCACGCGCCCCGCGCCATTCCGCCGCCGCATCCCATAATACGCCGGGCCCGCCCCGCCCACAGGCCCGCCCCCCGCCCGTGGCGGCCTCTGCCCCGCCCCTTCCGAGGCCTCGCCCCGCCCCCTGGCAACGTGCTCACGCGTCATTCCGCCCGGCTCCGCGGGCGCGCTCGGGCTCACGTGACTCGCAAGGCGCCCAGTCAAAGCCGGCCCGGAAGGGTCCATCTGCAAAGGTGCGGGGGAGACGTTCGTCCAGCGCCTGCGCTCGGCGCGACACACTCTACTTGTGGCGGTCTGTGCTGCCGGCGCGGTTTCCAGCATCCACCCCACTCTTGGATGTGCCCGGGTGAGGCAGGGATCAATATTTACAAATGCTAAATTTCTTCGTCTTTTAGACTCCTTTTGTAAAGGTCGCTTGAAAACTCTTGGGAGATCACAGGCAGCTAAAAATTTACTTTGAAAGAGACTTTCTGCATTTTTTTCTTGCAATACAAGACTTTCTGCATTTTTTTCTTGTACACCTAAGACTAAGATAATCAAAATTTTTTGTATTTTCCGTTTCTTGTATTTTCCCTCTTTCTAATACTATATCTCAATATGGAGTCTCACTGTGATCATTGGTGAATAACTGCTGTGTGAGACGAACTACACAGATGAACAAATAGAGAAATACCGAAGAGTAAAGGCAAAGCCGGGAGGCCTGGCTTTAAATGCTGCCGCGTGGGTCCGCTCGACAGAGCGCGGGGAGCGCCCGGGGGAGGGCGGCTCCGGTCGCCGTGGAAACGGCAATCTCTGTGGGATCCAGTCCTTCTGGTTTTAAATTCTGGCGCCTCCACCTACGAGTGTAATAAGTTGAAGTTCCTTTCCCGGTTTACAGAGTGAAAATAACAACCTCCTTGGATCCTACGGGTAATTAAATGAGAGGCGTCAGTCTCCGCCTCACCTGTTAAATTCGGTGGGCGCTCCGGGACCGCCTGACTCAAACTCTGTAGTTGCGGGAAGGTAGCAGCGGTCGGCAGCGGGGCGGTCTGGAGTGCGCGAGGCAGTGAACGCTGAATGATGCGTGCGGGTTTTGCTGGGGATCGGTAGTGTGAGCCCAGTCTGGGAGAAGCTTTGAGGACTTGCGAAAGAAATCCTCGGCGTCAGACGATCGGTGATATTGGCGGTGCCTCTGGAAGGAAGAAATGCGGCAGGATCCCCAAATCCGGTTGGGTTTGTAGGGAGACAAAGAATCCCCCAAAAGGGAAAGAATTTCTCCGGTCTTTTCCCAAAAGACTAGCATAATTCTGAGACCAAAAACCCAAGACTATACCCCCCAAAAAAACTCTTCCATCCTTACCATGATTTTGTTAAAAAGACAAAGTATAGTATTAAAATGTTATCAAATCCAGCAACGTGGTAATAATTCATGTAGTACAGTATAGTTTACTCCAAGAATGATAGTTTATTTTAAAAATTTCATAATTTATTAAAGAAGAAAAACCAAATGATATTCTCTAGATATGGCTTATAGGAGATTTCAACAACTATTTTCAATTTTAAAAAATTTTAGTAAGCTAAGAATAAAAGCATTTTCTTAATTGAGTCAATATAGTCACCAAAAAACCACAACGGTGTCATTATACCTTATAGTGAAGTGATGGAGGCATTTTTGTTTTGACCAGAGATTCTTTGCCAGGCACCCAACAAAAATGCAGAGATAGATCAGCTATCGTTTAACATTTTTGCAGTGTGTCCAAACCAAATTAATTAAATAAGAGAAAAGGAATAAGTGAACCACAGATGGTGGCAAACACCTGTAATCCCAGGACTCTGGAAGATTGAGGCAGGTAGATTGCAAATTGGAGACCAGCCTGGGCAACTTACAAAAAAAAATTTTTTTAAAGGGTTGAAGATATAACTCGGTGCAAAGGCTCTAGGTTGAATCCCCAGTACTGCCAAAAAAAAAGTATAAAATTAACTAATTCTATTTAAAAATAATCATAAGAGTTTAGTTTGGTTTGGCCTTTGGAGTTAAAAAGCCAGGGTCCAAATCCTGCCCCTGCAAATTAACACCTATAAGAACGTAGGCAAGTTGCTCTCCTCTGATGCCCTCATCTGTAAATTGGGAATAGTACATGTGTCACAAGGCTGTTGTGACAATTAACAAGGTCATATGTGTAACACTCAACAGTGGCTGGTATGTGATACAGTAAGCTCTCAGTGGTTGAAAACTATTAAAAATTATAGCTACATTCGAAACTTTTTTCTTTCAAACAGCATTTTAGGTAGTGTCTCTGATATTCAAACATCTATACTGTATTTCATAAAAGAATCTGTTTTACATTTGCATGATGGCTTTCCCAAAGGAACTAAAAACTAAAAATATTCAGCAAGTATTTGTTGATCATCTACTAAATTCCAAGTACTGTATATGGCACTGGGAATAAAGTGGTGAGTGTCTCAGGGCACTTGTATCTGCTGGGACCTCCCACAGTGGCAGGTCTGTTCTCTGCTACCTGGTCTGGTGGCTGTGGCCCTGTGTGGGTCTCAAGCAACTCCTATGTGGCTGGTATGGTTGTGGAACTAATGTGTTTATTTTAAAGACAAGAATATAGAAAAGGTAAGAATTGGAATTATTACCAAGCAAACTGAAATATATTACTGGGCACCTATTGTGTGTTCTGTATATTGCTAGGTCCAAAGCATACACTAATTAATAAAATTGTCTTTAATAGGTTAGTTTCCAAAAAATTATTCCAAAGTTCCTTTGTTCATAAATGTACTGGAAGTCCACAATTTCTCGAAGCAAGCAGCCATCAGATACATGTAAGAGTAATTTTCACCTTAACTTCTTTTTCATTATCATACACATTTTTTACAATAGGCCCACAGTCCATTATCAATAATTTCAAAATCCAAAAAGTTTTGAAAACTGAAAGGTTTCTGAAAGTTTATGATGAGCTCACTTAGTAGGCAAACCTGGCCCAACATGACATAAGGCATTAATATTCTTTATGTATTCCATTTGATGTCAGTATCCACATTCAGAAATACAGAAGTATTTATGGAGTTTGATTATAGCCATAGGAGCTGGAAGGGACTTTCTAATGTGATGGGAATTTTTGTTGTTGTTGTTTTGATTGGGGTTTTGGCTTTTTTTTTTTTTTTTTTTTTGGTTTGTTTTGTCTCATCCCTTCCCCTCCTTTCTCTTCACTTCTTGCTGTATTATCTCAGCTGATCTCAGACTCTAGGGTTCCAGTGATCCTCCTGCCTCTTCCTTCCAAGCAGTTGGGATGATTGTGTCCCACTACACTGGCTTGTGGAAATGGTCTCAACCTCAAAAAAAACCACGGTGGTGGCTGCACAAGGCCTCAGCTCGTTGGAAAAATTAATATGGGTTCATTTTATTATAAATTATAACACATTAAAGTTGCTTTTTAAAAAGCACTAAATTCTCCATGAACAGGCTTTATGGGAGGAGCTAAAGTTGCCTTTATTTTTATTTTTTGTTTGTTGTAGTTTTTTGAGACATTCTCGCCATGTAGTACAGGCTGGCCTGGAACTCACTTTGTAGCTCAGGTGGGCCTCGAGCTCATGGTGATCCTCCTGCCTCAGCCTCCCGAGTGCTGGGATTACAGATGTGCACCATAACACCTGGATAAATTTGCTTTTAAAAGAAAAAGAAAGGCTGGGCAAAGACCCTGTCTCAAAAAGACAAAAGATAAGAAAAGAAAAAAAAAAGTAAAACTTTTAAAAATGTTTTTTGCATATACTTCTTCAAAGTCCCAAATAGCCTTTATTCTAAAATGCATGCAGACATAAGGAATTTTTCTTGAGGATTGGTATATGCTTGAGGGTTTTATAAGGGAATATAGACTGGGATCACTTGAACATAACACAAGTTTTCCCTCCATGGTATATAGTAAGGTTATAATGTAAAACTGTCCCCAAAATAAAATACGTTAAAATACCAAAATCATCTATTAGTGACCAGAGTTTCATTTATTGTTCCTCTGGCACTAAGCTGTTGTCCTCTCTGTAATAGTTGCTTCTATTTGTTTCCTAGAAGATCCCTTGTAACAGTTGTTTATGTGGCTCTCCTCAGGAACCGTGTTCTCGGGGTTGACCTTGCTTTAGCTCTGCACAGCATGCAGAAGGGTGCACAGAGCCCTTTCTGTTGGTGTGGGAGCCAGGTAGGCATGCTTGGAAGGAGGAGCGGTGCCAGTGTCTTTATCCAATGAGCTGCTGCTGCAGGTGTTGCTCTCAGACAAAGGAAGTGTGAGCCACGCTTCGACAGATTATCATCATGCACACAACAGCAAAGGTCACATTAATTGTGTGAAAGCATGCCAGATGCAAACTTTTACCTTTTGGTATAAAGCTGTTTGTATCCTTGAAAGCTCTGTTAGTGTTTTTCTTTTAAGACAAAAGGTGTTGGGCCAGGGATATAGCTCAGGAGCACGGCACCTGCCTGGCAAGTACAAGATCCTGAGTTCAATTCCCAGTGCAAAAAAAAAAAAAAAAAGACAAAAGGTGTTAATATATGAGTTGTTTTTTCTAAACTAAAACCTTCCGATTTAATTGCAGTATTGGCACTTTGTAATAAGTAAGTGGGTTTTGCGTTGCAGTTGGAACACTCAGTCTCTGAAGAGTTCACCATCAGAGCCCTGTAATGTTCTGGTGTTATTGTCCTTCAGGTAGTATTGTGAGGAATGTCTAAAGTTGGAGATCAATCACATGTGTGGGGCTAAAGCAAGGCCAAGTCCGGGAACATGGAGCATGCAAGGCAAGCCACATAAACAAGCTGTTCGAGCTCTGAAAATAAGAGGTGCCCGAGGCAAGCCAGGCAAACAAGTTGTTAGGCAGAGAGGTTTCAACTGACGTCAACCTCCCAAGTGTATAAATAAACATGCTGCAGTCGTTGGGTGGTTCTTTTTCTCCTACCAGGAGAAGAGGCTTTACCTGATCTCAGCTTTCTACGTTCTGACACATGTCTCCATTTCTTCATCCTCCCCGCAGGAAATTTGAGAGCTGTACTGGACGTGGCA